TTTTGAGTAAAAGGTCCCAAGCGGTGCTGGGTGGGGAGCGGTGGATCAGTCCGAAATCAGCGGTCTTAGCTGGGGGGTGGGGGTGGGGGTGTCAGAAGGCAGGCGGATCCAGGAGAAGGCTGAAAAGTGCTCCACCCGGATCATAGAGCTCATGGCAAAGGATGCTGTTGACGTCTCTGACTGCCCATTGGCTCTTCCGCGGTTGCCATGGCAGCAAGTATGCATCATCCCTCAGTGGTCCAGGGATGGAAGAGGCTCTGAAGATATAGGCCGGGGGGTCCCTTCTCCATATCAGGGGCTGGCAACAATGCTGCTGTTCCTAAGCTGGGCGGTGGGTTGCGCCAGCAGCGCGAACCTGCGGCGGGACGCTGGTAAAGATTTGGGGCTGTTGCATTTGTAGGGTCTAGCTTGACCCCTCTCGTGAGGGCCTCCAGCCCACTGCTAGCGGGAAACCCATGGGCTCAAGGGTGATGCCAAATCTTGGCTTAAACATCCTGCTGTTGATTCGGTGGGTCTACTCTTGTTGGGACTAGAGTTCGGGTTCAGGCCCTGGCATCCAGCCTAGAGCACCCGAGAGTCAGACCGTTCTTTCTTAAAGGCAATGAATATCATGTTCCATCATCTTAAAGGGATCTTTTCTATACAACAGATCCTTCAGCGTACAAATCCCATCAGCCCTGCCCAGGACAGCAGATGTTTAAGAGATTGTGGGGGGTTCAAGGCATCAAGGGGTCTCACCTCTGCCCCATCTTACCCAGTATTTATATGTTTCACATTACCTGGTATGTTTGGTTATCTGCCATTCCTGGTTTAAGGAACAAACCATGGTTAAACCAAACCATGGTTTGCCGTGATGTGCAAATACACCCTCCCTCCCATATGTTTGTCTTGCCATCTGCAGGGGAAGAAATCCACTGGAAAAACTGGGAGCCATGGGTGTGCATGTGCGAGTTACGTAAGCAGGCCCGGATCCGGCATTTTGTGGTGCGGGCTGCCAACCTCTCTCTCGACCTGAAGACCTCAGCGTTTTGGCAGGAGAAGCCGTGTTCTTTGCTCAACTGCGCTCAGTGCCTGCCAGAGGAGTGCCTGGGTGGCGCCGGACACGAGCGCGCCAGCTTCGCCCGCCAGTTCGAGAGCCTTTCGTCTCGTCAGCCACACGATGTGGAGATCCCGCTGCCTCCTCGCTCAGATGTCCCGACGTACGACAGCCTGCCTGTCGTGGATTATGTCGGAGATGAATAGGGGGCCTAAATGGAGGCTTGGACTACAGCCCCCATCTGCCACTGACAGCATTGGACCTGGGTGATGGGTGTTGTAGTCCGACACCTCTAAAATACGATGTTTCCGTCGCTGATCTGTGCATTTTTCGGCAACGACAAGGGGGGAGGTTGGGAAGCCTGCCATGAAGAGGAGGAGGAGGCTGGAGGCAAACCAGCCGCCTTTTCATGCAATGGTTTGCGATCCTATATGTAATGACAAGGGTCTACTTGTAGATGGAGCGGATCGCCATCAATATACAATGTCCTGTTGCATCTGGAGGCTGGTTTCTGGTTTGAGCCACAGCTTACCTTGAAAATTCAAAGCCTGAGGAAATTGGGGTTTTTTTTCTTTCTTTCTGGGGGTGGGTTGGGATCACACCTCCCACACTTGTTTGGGGATTCTGGGCAATGTAGAACCAAAAACAGGATTTTTCAGAAGTCATTGCAGGCCAGTTTCTTTTTTTAAAAAATGTGAGCTATTTTTAAGAGAAATTAAAAAATTGCAGAAGCCGACTTATTCTGTTGAGCCGAAAATAAATACATAAATACTTCTAACGAATTCGAAACGTGCACGCAGATGAACCCACGACCTATGAAATGCTCTGGGTAGAGCAATTTTTTGTGTGCCATCAAAGAGATAATTACCATAATAATTCTAATAGAGAAACTGCCTCTACACAGTTCTGCTTAAGAGATCTTTGTAGGCATTAATTGCAACCACCAGAAAATGACGGCAGAGCACGCTAGGAAATGTTTGCGAGCGTGTAAGAAGTTGCTGAGGCGAAATGTCAGAAATTTGCTTAATATCACCAGTAAAAAGAGCGGCTGCTCACTTCTTAAGGCCAGTAAATGCTGCCTTTGGAGGAAAAGAGATAGCAGATACCCTTTCCTCATCTTGTTCTCTTTCTATCGGCTGTAAGAATCTTGATGGCGTTGAGGTAAACAAATGTATATGAGTTTTCTAAGAAAATGAGAAAGCCCGCGAACCACTGCGGTACGTCATGATCGTTAAAAATAACCCACGAAAGAGTCCAAATCAGATTGAAATGAAATAGGGGATGTTCGCAGAGGCTCCCCCGTCTGGTTTCCCCCACCTCCAACTGGTGCTCCTCCATTTCTGTTGGGTCGGATACCCCATCATCCCGCATGAACGTGACCCATGGGTTCTGTAGTCCGAAACAGGGAGACGGGACCCGGTGGAAGGAAGCCGCTGTCCTTTTCTTCCAGCCCAGACCATCTCGGAGCACGGCCTGCGAAGAGCGGCTGTACAGAACGATACTGCCCAGATACCCACTGCAAGGGAGGGGACAGCTGGAAAATGCAAAATTCTTCTTAGAACAACCCTTGAAGTTGATGAATCATATTTTCCAGGTGGTTTTTTTTTTCTCCTTTGAAAGATCACAACAGTGAAGGAATAGGCCATTTTAATTTGGCTGGTCCTCATCTCTGCTCCTGGCACACTCCTGAACGCCTTTCTTTGGATGCCGACCTGTTCCAGTTTCCCAGTCTGGATGCTTCCCGGGGCAGAGACCTTCCTGGTTATAAATCACCATTGAGTGGGACTCCCTTCTTGCTGTGTGAAGAGTTGCAGTTTACTCTTTCAGGCACCGCCACCCCACACCACCGGCTCCCATTCCACCCCATTCCCATCTTTTGGCTGCTGAGCCCACTCAGTTCTCCGTCAGCAATTTCTTCTTTTCCCCCCCGGGCCCACCCCCCAATTAATCATCTTTATTTCGTTGGAAATCACCAGTTAGATTGATTCTCCGTCATGGCAAGAGATGGGCTCTGGCATTAAGAGTAAAGAGGGTCAGTTTGCTCTCTCCGGTGATTTCATACACTTCAGGCTCCCATTCCACCTCTTTCAGCGGCTGAGGCCACTCAATGCTCCATCCACCTCCTGAGGTTGTAGGGGCTTAGGTCTAAATGGTTTCCTTCAAACTTCAGGGCTCCCCCAAGACGGCTGGGGCTGCTCGCGCCCTCTTGTATGCCAGCGGGGCTTTCCTTAGCTGGGGGGTAAGATGGGGAAGGCAAGCCAGGGCTGCGGGGACAATGGAAGGTTTTGCACCCCTCCTGCATGCTTGTGCAGCCTTGTTTCTAATTCTGCAGTCCTGGGCAGCTGCATGTCTACTCTCCTGCTATAATCCTGAGCAGCTACATTTCTACTCTCCTGCTATAATCCTGCACAGTTGTAGTGCAAATAGGGTTGTTGTTTTTTTAGGTCCTGAAGAGTATGCCGTCGTAACTGATCCAGTGGATCAGTAATATGGAAGCAAAACCTCCGCTTTCTTGATGCACGTCTGGGGCCCCTCCTCGGGAGTAAAGGCCCCTCGATGGTTGCCCCTACGCAATGAGGTCCCTGGAGTTTTTTTCCCACCCAAGTCCATACAATTCAGGTAGGTTTGGGGTCCCTGAGCGTCTCTTGAGGGGTGGGTGGGGTTCTCCTTTATTTATATGGAAGAAAACAGGAAAGGCAGGAGAAATGTTTTAAAATGAGTCTCGCAGCACTTTCAAGAAGGGACCCAATTACTCCCGGGGAAGTGGGTTGCAATCCAGAACAGCTCACGTTTATTGATTTATTTTATTTTTAAAATGGCTTGCTCTGCCTTTCTCCTGGAAAAAACAAAGGACCCCCGGGGGCTTACAGCCTTAAAAACACAATATGAAAAGCTAAAAAAAACAGTAAATTGTTTCGGATATGAAAGAAGAATGAATGCCATTATATTTTTAAAAGACCTCTGTTTCTGGGTCTCTTTTTAGTCTTTATTTAGAATAAAGGACACCGGTTGCCTTTTTCCAAACACTGTCCTTTGTTGTCTCCTCCTTTTATAAATAATAAAAGGATTTCCCCTCTTTAATCTTGTGGGGGATGTCCTCGAGTCCCATGTTGGGGAGGCGAGAATAGGAGTCAACCCCCCTAACGAACTTCTTTCGATTCGGGGAGCCGTTCCAGGAGATGGTCGAAACTGCCCGCATTTCGGAGGCAGCGCGACCTGGTCAGAACGAGCCGCCCGCCTTCTTTACTGGCAGCCCCACCACAAAGTCCCAAACTGAGAAATCAGACGGATCATCTCTTTTTTTTAATCTTTATAAAAACACTTCCCCGATGGGGCGGCCAGGAAAAAAAAAAAAGAGCAGATTGCTCATAGTTTCCAGCCAGACAGGGTCACCCTAAATTACAATGGACTTTACAGCACATGGTCATTATTCTTAAATGACTCTTTTAATGTTCTCCTCTCTCTTCCCCCCCCCACTCCATACCCTTCCTCTTGCTTTGAAATGAAAGATGGCAGGGGTTTTCTCCTCGACCCCACTCTCTGTTTTGCGGTGGGGATTTTTTCCCTCCACCCCATTAGCCAGTAATACATTAAATCAAAGAGGGGGGATTTTTTTTTTCCAAACAGGGCTTGATGACAAATCCCATCAGCTTGACCCATAATCAAGGCGACGGGCATTGTAGTCCACCACCCCGGTGAGGAGGAAAGGTGTTCCCTACATAAATAAGACCTTGGGCAGGTTCCTCTCTTTCAGGATTATAAAACCCATGATCCCCCAGCCAGCTGGGAACTAAAAGAGGAAACTTGAGTTATACCAAATGATGTCATTTGGCCACGAGCCACAGAAAGCTAAAGGGAAGGGTGGTAAAGCACAGAACAATTAATCCACTGCTTTGTTTTAGGATCACAAACCAGAAGCTGCGCAGATTCCCTCTTTTCTTCCTCTTTTAAATCTCTAGGGAATCCTGTTCGGTTTGTTTACATTAGCTTTTGCAAAAGTCACATCAATCCCCAGTGGGTAGACAAACTTCCGAAACAATCAAATAATAATAATAAAAAAGTATTTACTATTATATTCCTGGTTTGGAATACAGGAGCGTTTCCGGGACTAGTTCGGGTCGTGGTAAAGCTTGGGTTTCCCCCTTAGTAAAAATTTTTTTAAAACCTCACTCTAATAAACACTTCAGTTTTTCTAGTTGTGCCACCGTCTCCCCCCAATAAGGTACAGGGAGACTACAGGTCCCATCAGCCTCTGTAGCCCTCAGCAACAAACCCCATCTTCCCATCCTAGCCTGGAAGATGATATAGGTAGTGTTTACCTGCCTGGATTTTTCCTGGAGTTCTCTTGACCCTTGGGCCGGACGTGGACTTAATTTTTGGCGATTCCTGGACCCCAACCTTATTGCTGCTGGTTCCGACTGATGCTCTCCGGCTTCTGACCTTGGGCCGGTTTATCCGACCCTGCCTTTCCTTTCTTGAAGCAAATCACGACACCCTGGGGGTCCTGTCAATCTCAAGACGTGGGTGGCCACAAACCCCATTATCTTTACTATTATATTCCTGGTTTGGAATACAGGAGCGTTTCCGGGACTCGTTCGGGTCGTGGTAAAGCTTGGGTTTGCCCCTTAGTAAAAAAAATGTAAAACCTTACTCTAATAAAACACTTCAGTTTTTCTAGTTGTGCAACCGTCTCCCCTCAATAAGTTACAGGGAGACTACAGGTCCCGTCAGCCTCTGTAGCCCCCAGCAACAAAACCCATCTTCCCATCCTAGCCTGGGGGGTGACAGGAGTCTTGTTCGTGACGTCGGCCGCCTTGGGTCCTTTTAAGGCGCAAGGCGGAGCAAAAAAAAATTGTATTTTAAATCGACAAATTTTTTTTTTTGTTTCGTCGCAGCCGGGCGCTCCTTCTGCCCATTTCACAA